ACAGCAATGCCAGAAAAGATTTGGTGCTTGCTGTTTGTGGCCAGTTAGCCATGTGAATGCAACATGTATGGGGCAGTTTGTAAAGAGCTGGTACTAATCATTTGTGTGAATGGTTTTGACTGAAGAGCATTTGGGTTTGAATATATGATCCGGATTCCTCCTGTAGCAAGGCTCAATAAACATTCGGTTACCACAGCTGTTGGCTGGAAGATTCACCTTATTTAAAGTGCTTTCTGAGATTTGATGCTGTCCTTTTTTTGTCTTCACTTAATACCATCCCACAGCGGCAGATTATTAGCTGAGATACGTGTGGCGATCGATATAATATAAAGATCAACATGTCCTTGAGTTTAGTGCACATAATTTTATAGGGAAGTGTTTTTTTCCCCCCCTCTCCATTTGGCTTGATTATTCAAGAGTTCTTTAACCACTACAACAGAATCCTTTTCAGAAGAAGAGCGTTTTTCTTTCACCCTAGTTGCTATGAGAACATGAATCATCTCTTTAGCACAATAGCAACAACTGTAGTGCTTAAGTGCATCCACTGATTTTTTACTGTTTGTTCTTTGCTCTCAACAAGATAAGCTGTTGTTATTTCTTTCTTCTTGAACAAGCATAACATGATTGCTGAAGTAGTCAGAATAATTGGACCAAATAGTGAGGCGGTTAATGTAAACAGAAAGAATTTATCTCTTTCAAGTACAGTAAATTGTCCTCCAAAAATATGGAAATCTTGTCTATTTCTTGTTGTGCCCTAGAGCAAATTTTGTTGAGTTTGTTGTCACATCATTATTTTCGGACTCTGTGAAATTGCTAATGAGGAACAGGCTGCTTTCAGTGGGATAGTTGTGTGTGTTTAAGGCTGTGATGAGACGTGTATAGTCCGGGGGTAAATCACTAGCACAGGAAAGGTCAATGTTCTCCTTGAACTCCACATCTACCACAGGTGTCAGTTATCACCAAAACTGTTGGCAAGGAGTGGGATGTGGGAGGATGGTGCTGGCTTCAGCTGCAGTAAATTAGCTTCTGCAGAGAGAGGGTATATACCAGATAATCTGATGTGCAGGCTCTTTTGGTAGCTGTGATGGGAATGAGTTCTGTGGTGGAAGAGGATGATAGCAAGAATTATTTTGCCTGATCATTAAGACCCTGAGCTGTTGCTGTACATGACCTGCTTTTGGAATTTGTAAGCATGTTTTTAAATTTCTTAAACAAGCAGTAAAATGAGTTGTTCTCATTGAGAGAGGAATGATTTTTCTGTGTCCTTTGTATATTCATTTTTGGGCTACTCCTGGTTTCTCTGTGCCCACTGTTAAAGGCAGTATCTTCACATTAAGTTTGCCTGTATAAAATGGCTTCTCTGGAGGAGTATCCTTGAAAAGCAAAGGCTGGTGGATGTATTTTGACAGTCTCTTGGTGTCTGCTAACCATTGCCTTTCTAAAGCCTTCCTTCAAACCTCCTAATCTTAAACTCCAGAGGTGTTTGTGGAAATCAATGTTGTTTGTAGATGAGAAAGATGGGTGCCTGTGTCAAGTGGAAATGAAATGTGTTCCGATGGGATGAGACAAGGTTGTGAGGAGCTTATGGAAGCACTTAAATGATTTGAGGCTAGTGGCTCTTGTTGGGACTTATGTGTCTGATTTGAGAAAGGAGCTGCTATTCCATCCTCATTTGGCACCTGTGATTCATATAATCTATAGCCCCTTTTAAAGAAGGGAATAAATGCTATGCAAATATGTCTAGACAGGTGAGATATGGCTAATGATCAGTTGAGACAATTTTCCCAACAAGCCTCTTAGATTTTAATTATTTATAGATCTATAATACATACTGTGCACTTCTGTAGCACAGGTGAATTAGAGTAGAAAAAAAATGAAAGCTTATATACAACCAGTGTTTTCAATAGTATCAAATTATTATGCCAATAAAACATGTAAAATCTCTGCAAGATCAAACAGGCATTTGATGTGCTGATTCTGTTTTGGAACAGAAAAAAAAAAATCCCTGAGTGATTGTTATCTGGTACTTGTAGCTTTGAATAGATAAAAGCAGTGGCCCAGACCTTGACTCGAGTAAATTAATACAACTCCATTGACTTCAGGGAAACAATGTGGATTTATACCAAGTGATGGATCTGCTCTTGCTGCTTGATAAAAATCTAGAGGTTAGGCTTTTTCATCAATTTTCATCTAAGAACTAAGGAAGGAAAAGATAATGGGGCTGCAAGTAGGGATATGATTCAGTATTCTGATCTTAAACTTCTAACCTCAGGGAAAAGAGGTCTGAATACTTGGCATGGATCTTCCTTAAGTTTGATGAACTGCTTTACCATTGTATTTAATTGTTTGCAGTTAGTATTATACTGAACTAAACTAAGATTATATGCAATTAAGCAAAAGAAGAGTGTTGTTTTGAGTGCCTCATTAATTTGTATTAGGTTGTTAATGTTGGAAAATCCACCAACATGATTTAAACATAAAAATACCAGGGTAATCTGCCAGACCATGCTAAGCTTCTAATCACTTTTTGGATACTTCCTGAAAATAACCAGGACCTGATTAAACTATTTTTATGTGTCATGTTTTCTTATTGGGGAAAAAAAGAAGTCTTGAGATTACTGTTGCCTCCACAGCAAGAGGGCAGAAGAAGCTCTAATGCAGAAGCAAGCAGTGATATTAAGAGAAATAAAACTAAAATATATATATATATTAAGAAATAATCCAATTTCTTGGAGTGAAGCAGATTGTGATGGCTTAATAGTAATTTGTGAAAGTTGACCTCAAATAAACGTAGAATCATAATGAAATTTATAGATAATCTAGTGAAATCTAACACTGATTATGAATCACAGTTTTCTGTCAGGGATATATGTATTTTGTTCTTGGATTTGCTGAAAACTAGGTTTTGGCAACTAAATATATTGCTTTGAGTGTGGGCCTTATGTCTCACCAAAATGAGTAGTAAAACTCCAGCTACTTTCCAAGGAAAGGGAATCTTGATTGTCCTGTCTACATACAAATTCCCTAGGATAGCCACATTATATGTGGTTATATGGAAATTTATATTGGTAACTTGGTAGGCAAAGATTGTTTCACAAAGCTGTGATAACCTTTCATGTGGCAAAGGAAGATCTCTGAGTGACTGTTACAAAACATATTTTCAAAAAATTCTGAAATCCTGCAACCACTTTGTTTTATAAAAACATAGTGCCTCCCATAATTTAAGGTCTGTTTAGCCATTAAGAATGTTGTTTCAGGCCTAAACCTTATTTGGGAGAACATTAACTGCCATTGTTGACCGAATTTTTCAAGAACTATAAGTTATGGACATATTATGGCTTATCTAATGTGTAGTTTATATGTCTGGGTCATTAGTAAAACATATTTTAATGCTTGCTTGAAATTCAATCTAGAAATGTCGTTGTTTAATCTACTTTTCAGTTCATGTTGTCTCCTTATACTTGAATGTGATTACCCATTATAGTTTTCCTGAGGTCTGATGCAAAGACCTTCAATTCAGAGACTGGCTTTGTGGGACTTGGACTGAGACATGGTTGGTTTTGGGTCCCTGGTGGCTCTTGTGCAAATGGATGGGAATTTCCCAATGACACAAGAACAGGCTCCTGAGGCTGTTGGAGCTCTGAGGACACAGCTTTGAGTTCCAAGATATGTGGTTTGAAGCTGCTTTTCCCTATGTTTTTGTTTTGTTTTGTTTTTTTTTTAATACTTTGCATGAAAGCAAAAGGTGCAAAGTGGTGTCTCTGTGCTTCCAGACTCCGCAGTGCTTTTGCCAGGAGTGGAACATTTGATTCCCAGAGCACAGCACTCTGACCATGTGAGGCTGCAGGAGCATCCTCTCAGTCCTTCAGGTGCCTGCACACACTGAGTTCATTGCACGTGGCTCTCATGTGGTGTCACTGAGCAAAAGAGATATAAAATGTCTTAAAGGCTCCAACTGTTACAAAAATAAACCTTGCTGATTCTGACTCAAGTGAAACATATGAATTAACATAAACTGACTATCAGCAGGATCTTAATTTCATTTTTCTTTTTTTTTCCCCTTCAAACTTTTTAAAGATGTGTTCATATTTTAAAATCTGTACATAACAGAGACCTGATTTTCCCACCCCTTGTACATAGCATCATCAAGACATAAATTGTTTCTGGCCATCTGAGTGTAATAATGAGGCAGCTGTACAGCTCACTTTGGTTGTTTATACCTATTTGGGCTCAGACCTGTTGCAGTGTCCTCTGGATGAACCTTTCTCATCTCAGACCCTGCAATTTGATGTCTGCTCCAAGCATTGGTTAAAGACCAAGTTTCAGCAGTTCATTTACTCTGTGTGAAATTTAGTGGGTTTAAATCATCACCTTTCTGGTGAAATATGCCAGTTTGAGGCTTGGAGATCTTGTGGCTTTGTTTTAAATAATGTCTGGGGCTGAGCTTCAGCCTTTGGCTTTGAAACCTGTCAGTATGTTGCATGGACTTGCAAAATAAATCAGTACAGTTTATGTTATCATAAACCATTGCATGGGGGATTTTTTGAAAGAGCTAAGAGAATTACAGGGATATATAGTGTATGTATAGATGTACAAACACAATGAGGTGAAGTCTCTCTAGTTGTTTGAATTGGTACCAGCTTATTTCAATGGCTTTTGTGTACACCTCAACTAGGGTTTTGTTTTTTGTTTTTTTTTCTTGGTTTAGTTTAGCTGTCAATCCTTCCAATTCCAGAACCAGGAAGGGGATTTTGTCCTGCTCCAGGTCTCATGCTAATGTGTTTCTGATGAGTGTGCATCCTGTGCTGTACCTTCAACTGTAATTAATTAATGGATGTTCATGTAGCAATTCTTTTCTCTGTGAAACCAATCCCTACCAAACTGTCTTTAAATCTTATGTGAGGCTCCTTTTCCTTGTAAAACTGAAAGTCACCTTCATCCGGTGTGGAAACCGATCTAGTATTCAGCTTTTTTTTTTTATTTCTTTTTTTTTTTCCTAGTGCTTCTGTTTTGAGACTTGTCCCTCTCCAGGATTGCTGTCAGCCAGCATGACAACCAGGGAATTCTGCTGGAGAAGTATTTTGAGGTATGTGAAATTACTATCAGAGATTTGCTACTGACCATGTCACTTTGTATGCAGCATGTCCAGTAAAAACGTTCATATGCCAAAATAACTGTGAACTTACAGGATGCAGCTTTACAGTCTAGCTTGTAAATTTTTATCCTGCATACAAGCCCCCCTATACATGCATAACACATAACTTAAACCATGTTATCACTACTACACAAGCTAGTGCTGTAAAAATGCAACCAAAGCTAAATTCAAATACATGTGTAAGTGCAAAGCACTCAGCTTCTGTAACAAAGGTAAAATTGGGCTCCTGTGATAAAGATATATGTCCTTAATTTAGGCTGAGAAATCACCAAACTCATTGTGTTGATGGTATGGCCTAAACTAATCTTCTGTCCAGATTTTCAAAGATGAAAAAAAATTCAGAAAACTAATCTAGTGCAATGCTGATAGCGTATGATGGTTGAGAGGTTGTAACATTATTTTAAAATATTATAATAAAGCTGATGTGTGATTTTTCTGTAATGCAACATCAGTTGTCTGTTATTTGCTTCAGACTGTAAATACATGGGAGAATAAGGCTGAAAAAAACTCAGCAGGTCTGTTAATACTCATGGTACAGGTTATCATAAAAGCTGGTAATGTTTTTCTATTCCTGCTTTTTTCCTGTTATTATGGGTTTTTATGAAATATATAAGATATATGGCAACATGAAACATAATGTAACCTGGTATTTTCCTTGTTTGATGCTGCTTTTTATTTCTCTGAGTCAAATGGGAATGCTACAAGGTACCCAGGCCCTTTAATATTTTGTTATACACAGTAGTCTACATAAACAGAGAAAACTCTAGAGCACACTATACCTTCCATCTACACCAGTAGGTGGTTTTATTCATAAAGCAAATTTAACACATCAAAACCAGCAATTTGGGGTGAAGATCACTGGAATGGAAGCCTGGTTTGTTGGTGGAGATGCTGCACTTGGTTTAAATTGGTTGAAGTCTCATTTCATTAATGTTCTAAGAACAGTAACTTTTCTTGGAGGGTTTTTGGGTCTGAAGCCTGTCCTATACTTAAGAGCTGCCCCTGGCTGGTGGTCTTATGGCTGAGGAAGGGTTTTGTTACCGAGGAACAGTCTGAGAAACTCCTGCCTGGAGGGGCTGAAACCATTCTGATTTGAAGCAGAAAAGTCCTTGAGGTGTTGTTTGTATGGACAAGAGGATTTGTTTCCTTTAATATAATTTTTTTGTGCTTTGAGAACCTGGGCTGCAGCTCCTATGTGCAAAAGATTTTAAAGACTGCTTTTTATTTTTGTGTAAAAGACTTTTTTTTTTTTTTTGTACTATCTACTTAATGATTCTACCAGATATTTTCATCTCCCTGTGCATGTGCTACCTAGAGAAATTTCAAAGAAAGTTGTTCCAGACCTGGGAACCTTATGATACAGATAGAACACTTAAATGAGCCAGATAAGTATGATGGTGGTAGAATGAAAGCACGAAATGGCAGTAGCAGTGATAGAGTATCAGAGTGGAAATACAAGTTTCATTCTCAGTCCCTGCCTATAGGGTATCTTGGACAAATTTCCAGTACTGAAATCTCTACTATCATCCAAAACTTGGCCACAATTGATTGCTGTAGTTTCCAGACTCGTCCTGAATGCATCATGAGAAACCAAATTACCAAGTTATTTTAAAGTAATAGTATAGCATTTGCAAGATTCCAGATTTTCCCAAATAGCATCTTGGGTGAACCACAAGAGATGCATCTTACAGGACCACAGTCTGCTCCACCAAACCTAGAGACACTCCACTGTCTCAGATGGAAAATTAAAAGGATCCAGAAACTTTGACTTTTTTTTTTTTTTCCCCCTTTCAAACTTTTGGACTGATTTATTAAAATGATGAAGAATTAGAAAAATGTTTCTAGTTAATGTGTAGACTGGGCATATGTTAGGGAGATGGAAGACTGAAAACCAAGTCATTGCCTGCTTGGCAGGCAGATTATTTTGTACAGCTTAAGTATCTGCCACTAAAATGTTGTCATCCAGCAATGGTTACCACAATATCAACAACTGAAATACCACAGCTGGTATAGAAAATATAATAACTGGTTGTCACAGGAGATTCAGGGCAGGAAATAAGTGTTCCATCTCCAAGGATAGTCTTTTTAATGCCTATTTTTATAGGCAAGGTTCATCTTTGTACTGTTCCTAGCTCCAGATGTTGCTTCCAGCAGGGCATAACAGAGCAGAATCCAGTGGGGAAAGCAGGGAAATGAATTATGACACAGAGCAATTCTATTCAAACAGACTTATTCTGCAGCAGAATAGGCATGTGATGGAGTCTCTGTTGCATCTTTAACTCAAGCTTGGATACCTTTAAAAAAGTTGTATTCCCGTGTTTTTAGGCCTTAGTCATCCTAATTCAATATTCATAGTGATCCTTCTGACCTTGGATGGTTACTCCCTCTTGTTGGGGTGATTTTTGTTAGTGACTGTGTACATAAAAGAGTTCTTTAATTAATCAGTGAGAAGGAGCTTGATCTAGTCACTTTTTTAATAAGTTCATGTGCTCAGTGAATTAAATCTCAGTCCACCAGGACAGTGAAGTGGTCTGAAAATGTTCTGAATCTTTCTATTAAATTAGCATGCTTCTTGTAATGAACCCTTACACAGATCAAATTAGTAGGATACTTACTGAAATTTTGCTCCAAACAGATGAAAGGTTAATTTCCTTTCTCTTGTCCCACAAGTTTTTCTTCTAGTAACAAAAAACCCCGCACAAAACCCACAAACACATCCCCACCCCACTAGTTTGAACCTGTCAAAATTTCAAACCTTGAGAGTGGAGTAGGGATATGCTACACACAAAAGCCTGCCCAAGCTGAGAAGAAAAGCTTTTCCTATTCTGTGCCAAATTTCCAGGATCCTTGTAGTTTGTTTCCTTCTGAGAAGGCAGAAGTTCAATTGCATGAACCCCAGACTTTGTTCCAAGATATTGGCAGTCTGAATGAGTTTAATATAAAATCACAAATGGAGCATTGCAGCTAGGATTTAACCACCTATGTTACACCATACTAAAATCTAATACAGACCAATTGTGGTCTAGTGTCTAATTTCCACAGCTGTAAAGAGAAAGATTCAAAAGAGTCATTCCTGGATTGCACCAATGAGAGGTCAAAATCCCATTCTCAGGATTACTATGATAATTAGATCCAGATTCTTTCTTGTGTCTGAAAGAAGACTTCAGGCTATCTAACTTCACATTCTGCTGTAAAGCTTCTAACAAAATGTTTTACCCTAAAAGTGTGTTGGATGTTAAAATTCCCAACAATGCTCACAAAATACGGCCCCTATGCTGAGCTTAATTGAATCTGGTTATTTATTATGCAACATAAAACATTTATTATATGGAATGTGTTCAAGAACGTCTCCATTTACCATATGTTTTCAAAAATGCTTTACACCGTGCAAATTGGAAAGATAAATCTGGGGAGTGGAACCACCAAGGGTCAGGTAGTCCAACCTGAGGCTTCAGAGCCAACTGGGGACTAATCCCTCTCGAGATGCCTTGGACATGTCCTGCTTACACTGGCCCGTCCTTTTTCTTTCTCCAACCATATCTGTGTCCTTTTTGCAGTTCCTGTTTATCTGTTGTTTTTTTTTTTCACACAGTTTGTCAAGAATAACCACCCAGATTTTGTTTAGTTGCACATGATTTTCCATTTCTTCCCTCTCCTCTTCTCTTAGTTGTCTGTTATGAAATGTTATGGTCAGTGCTGTCCTGGCATAGTCCAGCTGTGAAAAAGGCACTATCCAATCACTCTCCATTTATTTTGTTGACAGCATGTGAACTGCAGGAAAACTTGTGTGTGTGGCATAGTGTTGGCTGAAACCAGTGCCTAGGAAGCAAAGGAAAATGGTTTTACTGTTGTTTCAGATTCTGCAAAGCTATTTACTGCTCAGTGCAATTTTGCAATTCCTGGCAAGTCACCCTTAATGTATGGCCTCACTCTGTTATGAATCCAAGACCATAAGTATTAACATTTCTTTAAATACTCTTTCTGCTTTTCCTTTATCTTTCTTAACACTAGTTAAAATGCATTTTTGAGTGAAGGGAGAGGAGGTGGTAACTGGATTTCACTCTTTTGCAATAAACTGTGCATATAAAATAATACCAGTTAGATCCTAGGGCTTCTTTTAAATCTCTCTGGCCTTGTATGTCATCTTGTGATGGGTAACAGAATTCAAACTTCTCAGAGGCATTCTCTTTAAAGGACATTGTACACTTTTCTGGATATATTTGCACTTAGATGTAAAACAGTGACTCCTGTATTTATTCAGCGAATCCTTTCCTGTAAACACAAATAATTTGCCTTGTTAATTATCTGATCTGATATAAATGGACACATGACCTGCTTTTTTCTAGCATTCTTGAAAGGAGACTGCCTGGGTAGGGGGGAAATCATATGCAAGGATTGTTTTCTGCCTCAGATTAAGGCCAGTCAGTTCCTAGTGAAGTAAATAAGAATGGGAAGATGCACATTCCTGAGCAAAATATGACACATGATAGAATCCTTCCCAGACATTGGCACATCTTCTGTTTAGATTAGCATAGTTACACTTGAGGACTAAACCTTGCTCAAAGTTTTCCATTAAGTTTTTATTTATGTCTGTACTACAACAGTGTTTTGGGTCAAAAGATGTTGCTATAATGCTATATAATTAAAAAATGTCTTTGGATATTAGAGACGAATCCAGATAAAAATAAATTCAAGTGACCTCTAACTGAAAATGACCCATTTCTCTGACCTGAAGAATCTTTTATCTTTTAGCTGCAATAGCTACAATCTGGTTGATAATTACTGTGATCATGGTGAACTTGTGCTTCTGAAACCAAAGACCAAAATGTTGGTGCCTGAAGTGTGATTCTCTTATTTCCTTCTGTAATATTAATGAAATGACTGCTCAGTACAACTTCAGTTGATCTGCTGACCTTGTGCAGTTGTCAGAT